GAGGAGAGCAGTGCGGCTGACCACACTGTTAGAGACAGAGGAGAGCAATGGTGCTGACCAGAGTCCTTTAAGTAGAGGAGTGCAATGGGACTCACCAGAGTGTTATAGGCAGATGAGAGCAATGGGGCTGACCATAGTGTTATAGGCAGAGGAGAGCAATGGGTCTCCCCAGAGTGTTATAGGCAGATGAGAGCAATGGGGCTGACCATAGTGTTATAGGCAGAGGAGAGCAATGGGTCTCCCCAGAGTGTTATAGGCAGATGAGAGCAATGGGGCTGACCATAGTGTTATAGGCAGAGGAGAGCAATGGGTCTCCCCAGAGTGTTATAGGCAGATGAGAGCAATGGGGCTGACCATAGTGTTATAGGCAGAGGAGAGCAATGGGGCTGACCAGAGTGTTATAGGCCGAGGAGAGCAATAGGACTCACTGGAGTATTATAGGCAACAGGCAGAGGAGAGCAATGGGGCTGACCAGAGTGTCATAGGCAGAGGAGAGCAATGGGGCTGACCAGAGTGTCATAGGCAGAGGAGGGCAATGGGGCTGACCAGAGTATTATAGGCAGAGGAGAGCAATGGGGCTGACCAGAGTGTTATAGGCAGGCGAGAGCAATGGGGCTGACAAAAGTGTTATAGGCAGAGGAGAGCAATGGGGCTGACCAAAGTGTCATAGGCAGAGGAGGGCAATGGGGCTGACCAGAGTGTTATAGGCAGAGGAGAGCAAAGGGGCTGACCAGAGCATTATAGGCAGAGGAGAGCAATGGGACTAACCAGAGTGTTATAGGCAGAGGAGAGCAAAGGGGCTCACCAGAGTCTTATAGGCAGAGGAGAGCAGTGCGGCTGACCAGAGTCTTATAGGCAGAGGAGAGCAATGGGGCTCCTCAGAGTGTTATACGCATAGGAGAGCAGTGCGGCTGACCACACTGTTAGAGACAGAGGAGAGCAATCGGGATGACCAGAGTGTTATAGGCAGAGGGGAGGAATGGGGCTGAACAGAGTGTTAGAGGCAGAGGAGAGCAGTGCGGCTGACCACACTGTTAGAGACAGAGGAGAGCAATGGGGTTGACCACATTGTTACAGACAGAGGAGAGCAATGGTGCTAACCAGAGTGCTTTAAGCAGAGGAGTGCAATGTGACTCACCAGAGTGTTATAGGCAGATGAGAGCAATGGGTCTCCCCAGAGTGTTACAGGCAGATGAGAGCAATGGGGCTGACCATAGTGTTATAGGCAGAGTAGAGCAATGGGGCTGACCAGAGTGTTAGAGGCAGAGGAGAGCAATGGGGCAGACCAAAGCGTCAAAGGCAGAGGATAGCAATGGGGCTGACTACAGTGTTATAGGTAGAGGAGAGCAATGGGGTTGACAAGAGTGTTACAGACAGAGGAGAGCAATGGGGCTGACCAGAGTATTATAGGCAGATGAGAGAAATGGGGTTGACCAAAGTGTTATAGGCAGAGGAGAGCAATGCGGCTGACCACAATGTTATAGGTAGATGAGGGCAAAGGGGCTGACCAGAGTGTTAGAGACAGAGGAGAGCAATGGGGCTGATAATAGTGTTATTGACCAGGAGAGCAATGTGGCTGATCAGAGTGTTATAGGCAGAGGAGAGCAATGGGGCTGACCAGAGTGTTATAGGCAGAGGAGAACAGTGTGGCTTACCAGAGTGTTATAGGCAGAGGAGAGCAGTGCGGCTGACCACATTCTTAGAGACAGAGGAGAGCAATGGGGCTGACCAGAATGTTATAGGTAGGGGAGAGCAATGGGGCTGACCAGAGTGTTAGAGGCAGAGGAGAGCAATGGGGTTGACCACAGTGTTACAGACAGAAGAGAGCAATGTTGCTGACCAGAGTGTTATAGGCAGAGGAGAGCAGTGCGGCTGACCACACTGTTAGAGACAGACGAGAGCAATCGGGATGACCAGAGTGTTATAGGCAGAGGGGAGCAATGGGGCTGAACAGAGTGTTATAGGCAGAGGAGAGCAGTGCGGCTGACCACACTGTTAGAGACAGAGGAGAGCAATGGGGTTGACCACATTGTTACAGACAGAGGAGAGCAATGGTGCTGACCAGAGTGCTTTAAGCAGAGGAGTGCAATGGGGCTGACCATAGTGTTATAGGCAGAGGAGAGCAATGGGGCTGACCAGAGTGTTATAGGCAGAGGAGAGCAATGGGGCAGACCAAAGTGTCAAAGGCAGAGGATAGCAATGGGGCGGATTGGCGGATTGTTTTTCTGGGGTAATAATCCCTTCAATAATAGTAATAATAATAATAGTAAAATAAGTAAAAGTAGTGAATTGCTCACTTCAATCCACGTCTGCTTATGGGATACCACTGTATGCAATCGGCTGCTGCTTTTCACCCACTAATCTTACAGTAAATTCACTTGATAGTATATTCTGTGAAGCACTTTGAGACATTTTGAAGACGTGATGAGGCGCTATATCAAATGTAAAGATCATTATAATTATTGGTTGCTAATGTAACATAGTACGCAGAAATTAAAATTATGGCCCGTATGGGGATTGAAGCCACGACCTTGGCGTTACTTCCACCACACTCTGACCAACTGAGCTAACTGGCCTGACATGCTGATTAAGTTACAGGAAGCTCTTATTACTGATATGCACTATGCAGCCTTGTGAATGACATACTTCAGGATATTTTATGCACAACCGAGATTTAGGTTATTCACGTAATTCAATCTATGCTGCTTGCAGCATACCTTCGAGGAATATTCAGCCAGGAAACTCTTTACTGTCAGCAGATCCTGTCAAGTATGATAACAAGGTCGACACAACAGGTGATTTTGCACAAAATAATCTTATTCTCAGAATAATACCAGAAATTGTAGGAGCTGTTGTCTATGATTCATTGTCTTTAGTACAGGAAAATATTTTCAGTACTTTTAAATTGAGCATCATATGAATTATTGTTGTGAGTGACCCTATCACCCCAATCCTTGCCGACTCCCCATCCCCCAGAGGATCGAGTTCAAGATCCTCGTCCTCAACTTTAAGGCCATCCATGGCCTTGACTCTTCTTAACTCTCTGACCTGCTGACTCCATACCAACCTGCCCGCTCCCTCCGTTCATCGGGCTCCGGCCTGCTCCATATCTCCCACCCGAAGCGACCCACCATCGGTGGCCGGGCTTTCAGCCTCTCTGCACCCACACTCTGGAACTCCACCCCACGGTCCCTTATCCCCGCTTCCTTCTTTGCTTTCTTCAAGGCTGGTCTGAATAACCTTCTCTTAGATCGTGCCTTTGGCACTCCTCCCGCCTCTCTGTCTTCCCTCACCCCTACCCCAGCTCTCCCCCATGCTCGGCTCCCGACCCAAGACTGTCCATTATCCCGACGTGAAAGGCGCGCTAGAAATGTAAATTTGTTGTTGTTGTTATTTATACTGTTGACCATGTGACCGTTCGCCTACTTTTTTTNAGGATTGCATCATTGTAAAAAGCAAATTCATCGTAGCTCTCTCTCCAGCTGCAGACAATCTTTCCATGAGAGAATTCTGAAGTTGAATGAAAACATTTTCTTATTTATAAAGTCTGTTATTTCTCCTCCTTGTGCAAGGTTCTTCTCCGCAGCTAGTCACAACCAGCTCCCCGTGTGTGAGACTCATTATATGTTTCAAATATAAATGAGCATCCCAAATTCAAATTGAGATTTCATTCAACACACGGGTTACAGAAATCCTGCAATTTTCTATCTCTCCCACTCTGTCTCCCGCAATTTGTTTCTCCATCTCTTTCTCTCACTGTCTGTCTCCCTCTAATTGGGTTCTTTTTTTTCTGTGTGGGTCTGCCTGTCTCTCACTGTCTGTCACCCTTATTTTGTGTCTCCTCTGTATGTCACTCGTTCATCTGCTGGCTCCACAAGTGTTTACGTGGACGTCTCTGTGATCCAATTGGGGCATGTAAAAACGCACAGGCACAACACTTGTGTGTGTGTGTGTATAAGTGTGTGGGCTGAATTTTTAACTCCTAGGCGACAAAGCAAATAAATAACCCAGGCTGACACACATTCACTAGGTGAACCTGAAACACAATGACTGAGCCAGACTAAAACACAGTGCTTTGACAGGCTGACAGACTGAATGAGCCAGGCTGACATACAATGTCTGAGCCAGGCTGACATACAATGTCTGAGCCAGGCTGACATACAATGTCTGAGCCAGGCTGACACAGTGAATGAGCCAGGCTGACACAAATCGACTGAGCTAGACTGACACACAGTGTCTGAGCCAGACTGACACACAGTGACTGAGCCAGGCTGACATACAGTGACTGAGCCAGAGTGACATACAGTGACTGAGCCAGGCTGACGTACAGTGACTGAGCCAGACTGACACACAGTGACTGAGCCAGACTGACACACAATGACTGAGCCATGCTGACACACAGTGACTGAGCCAGGCTGACAAATAGTGACTGAGCCAGGCTGAGAGACAGTGACTAAGTCAGGCTGACAGACAGTGACTGAGACAGGCTGAAGTACAGAGATTGAGCCAGGCTGACGCACAGCGAGAGAACTAGGCTGACACACCATTGACTGACATTTTCTGCGTGGGCCATAGAGTAACATTGAGTCTGCGGTCGGCTCCAGGAACGCAATACTGCAGGACTGTGTTTCCCTGTCTGTACCCCATGAAGCTCCACCAGTACAGAGTGCAGTACACAGGAGGGAGAAGGGACCCATTTTTTCCTGGGACGAGACCACATAGAGCATGCACAGAGATCAGAGCCAGCAGATCCCAGGATATCCAGCGGGCTCAGAGCCCAGGGCCATTTCTATAATTTGGTCATCGAGAGGATGAGGATCAAGGTCAGCGCTGTGTATCATTGCTCTGTCGGAGACACGTGAGGTATGTCAATGTGGGTGTCATACACAAACCAATCAGCCTTTCACTCCCCAGAGACACGTCTCACAGCGCTTCACCCCCCGCATTTGTACAGTGGCTTTTATCCCAAAGAGAGATGTCTCACGCTTAAGTCAGCGCCGTTTGAGTTTTATTTCCAATTTGTTACAGAAACGGCTTCTAACTCACAGGTTATGAACATTTTACCCTGTCCAGCTGTGGGCAAGCCACACCTGGAGTACAGAGGTCAGCTTTGGGAAGCCCACATCTGGAGTACAGAGGTCAGCTTCGGGAATCCCACATCTGGAGTACAGAGGTCAGCTTTGGAAAGCCCACACCTGGAGTACAGAGGTCAGCTGTGCTCAGACCAGGGCCGTGATTTGCTCTGTGATCTTCCCCACATTCTTGCTCACGTTCTGACTTGCTGCTCCCAGCAACTCGTCAAACTCCTCCCCGGTGTAACTCAGCTTCTGAGTTCCGTATTTATCCATCATCTTCTCCGGGCTTGTCCCTGTGAGCAGAGCCCCCTCCCCCTCTCTCTATCTGTTACACACCCTGTCTCACCCACATCTGTCAAACAAACTCTCTCAAATTCTCTTTGTCATATGATTTCTCACAATCTCTCACACACTCACACGCACACACACATTCTTATATACGCTCACGCACACTCTCACTCATACGCTTTCGCACACACTCTCTCCCACTCACTTGCACACGCTATCTCTCACTCACACTTTCTCACATACTCTCTGTCACAATATACTTCAAACAAACTCTCCCACAATCATACTCTCTCACACTCTCTTGCGCAGACTCACTCACTCACACTCACCGTCTATGCAGTTACAGTCATTAAAGAGAGGGAAGTGTATGACAGTGGGTGCTCCAGGCTTTGTGAACACATAAAAATCATGAGGCGGTTTATCCAGCTCCAAGGGCAAGTCTGGGAATGGGATGTGATTTGTGGTGCAGTATTTCCCGGTCTCGTTCAGCGTCTGGCACACAAGAGAAGAAGGTTTCGCACATAGCAAAATACAAGCTCCTATCTCCCACTTCCACTGTCATACAACTCAACAACTATAATCTCTCACTGTCTCTCTTTCACTCTCAGTCTCTCTCACTCTCACAGTCTCTCTCAGTCTCTCGCTCTCTCAGTCTCTCTCATTCTCTCAGTCTCCCTCTCCCCCCCACCTCTCTCTCTCTACCTCACTCTCTCTCCCTCTCCCTTTCTCTTCGTAACAACATAGATGCATTAATAGATATAAAAGGGTACGATCTAATAGCCATTTCGGTGAAGTGGTTACAGGGTAAGCAAGATTGGGAGCTAAATTTTCCAGGTGACCAGATGTATTAGAAATTTAGACAATGTGGTAAACGAAGGGGGAAGGATAGCCCTATTAACAAAGGATGAGATAAAAGCAATAGAGAGGAAGGATCTGAAGTCAAAATATCAGGATGTAGAATCAATATGTGTGGAGCTAAGAACCAGCAACGGGCAGAAAATACTCGTGCAAGTTGTTTATACGCCCCCAAATAGCAGTTACAGTGTTGGTAGAGTAGCAATCAGGAAATTAGAGGAGTATGTAAGAAGGACAATATAATAATAGTGGGCGATTTTAATCTTCATATAGACAGGGAAAACCAAATTGGCAAAAGTAAGTTAGACGAGAGTTTATGGAATGCATTAGAGATAATTCTCTATAGAGGTATACTGAGGAACCAACCAGGGAACATGTTATCCTAAATCTTGTATTGTGGAATGGAGCAGCGCTAATCAGTAAACCTGATGTTAAGGATCCTCTAGGGCAAAGTGACCATAATATAATGGAATTGAATATTATGTTTGAGAGCGATGTAGTTAAATCCGAAACAAGCGTCTTAAACTTAAACTTAAATAAAGCATCACTTGGCTAAAATGGGCTAGGAATGTAGACTAAAAGATATGAGGTAGGCAGGCAATGGCAAGCGTTCAACGAAATATCAGATAATTGGCAGCGAGCGTATAATCGCTTGAGAAATACAAATTCCACGGCAAGAGTGGTTCAACCATGGCTAACCACAGAAGTTAAGGAAAGTATAAAATTAAAAGAAGAGGCATATGTTACAGCCAAAAAAGAACTGTAAACATGAGGATTGGGAGGACTCCAGAAATCAGCAAAGGATAATCAACTGATTAAGAGGGAGAAAGTGGAATATGAGAGTAAACTAGCTTGAGATATCAAGACAGATTGTAAGAGCTTTTACAAGTATATAAAGATAAAGAATTTAACAAAGTAAACGTAAGTCCGTTAGCGGCAGAGACAGGAAAAAATGTAATGGTAGATAAAGTAATAGCAGGTCATTAAATAAATTCTGGATTCTGGAAATGTTCCCATTGATTGGAAGGTCCTGAATGTAACCCCGCTATTCAAAAAGTGTAGGAGAGAAAAAGTGGAGAACAATAGACCAACTAGCCTGATATTGGTGGTAGTAAATTGCAGAGTCTCTGATTAGGAATGTCATCGTAGGGCACTTAGAAAGTCATAATGTGATTAGGCAGAGTCAACACGGTTTTATGAAAGAAAAACAGTGTTTAACAAATCATTTTTGAAGATGTAACTAGTCGGTTAGATAGGGGGGAACCAGTAAATATTGTGTACTTTGATTTTCAGCAGGCGTTCGATATGGTACCTCATAAAAGATTGCTACATAAGATTAGTACTCATGGAATTAAGCGTAATATATTAGCATTGATTGAAGTGATTAACATAAAACAGAGAGTAAGAATAATCAGGTCCTTCTCAGATTGGCAGGTTGTGACCAGTTGAGTACCGAAAGGATCAATGTTGGGCCTCAACTGTTTACCCCTACATCAATGACTTAGGTGAGGAAGTAGAGCTTAATATATCTAAATTCGCGGAGCATACATAGCTAGGTGGGAAAGTAAGTTGTGAGATGGACACAAGGAGGATGCAAATGGATATAAACAGGTTAAATGAGAGGGCAAGGAGTTGGCAGATGGAGATAATGTGGGGAAATTTGAAGTTATTCACTCGGTACAAAAAATAGAAAAGCAGATTATTTTCTAGAGGGGGAGAGACTAAATTGTGTTAGTATTCAGAGAAAAGCAATCACAGAAAGTTAGTGTACGGATACAGCAAGCAATTAGGAAGGCTAATAGCATGTAGGTTCACTAGGTTGGTTTCTGTGATGAGGGGGTTGACCTACGACGAAATGTTGAGTAGTCTAGGCCTATATTCTCTAGAATATAGAAGAATTAGAGGTGATCTTATAGAAATCTATAAGAATCTTAAGGCTCTTGACAGGGTAGATAATGTGAGACTGATTCCCCTTTTTGGACAATCTTAAACTAGATGCAATCTTAAACTAGATGCCCTAGTCTCAGGATTAAAGGTCAGCTGATAGAACTGAGTTGAGAAAACATTTCTTCACTCAGAGGATATTGATTTTATGGGGTTATCTACACCAGAAGGCTATGGATGCTCAGTCATTAAACATATTCAAAATTGAGATCGATAGATTTTTTAAAAGCTAAAGGGATTAAGGCATATGATGATATGCGGTATAATTGGAATTAGGTTAGAAGATCAGCCATAAACGTTTTAAATGGCGTGGCAGGCTCGAGGAACCGAATGGCCTACCACTGCTCCTATTACTTATGTTCTTATGTTTTCTCTCACTTCCACCACTCTCACTCCCCACCCCCACCCCACATCCTCCACTCTCTCTCTTTCACTCTCAATTTTCTCTCTCGTTTTCTCTCTCGCACGCAGTCTCTCACTGTTTTTGTCTTTCAGTTTTCTTCTCTGTCTCTCAATGTCACTACTTCTCTCCATATATCTCTCAGTCGCCCTGTCTCTCACTCTCTTAGTCTCTCTCATTCTTTCTCTCTCTCTCTCTCTCTCTCTCCCACACACACTCTCTCTCTCTCTCTCACTCCCTCATTCTTTCCCTGTCTCTCAGTCTCATTCTCTCAGTTTCTCACAGTCTCAGGCTATCTATTTCTATGTCACTCTTAGTTTCAGTGTGTGGGGTTGGGTGACATTACCAGGAAGGGATCACCACTGAAATCGAATGACAGCACAAGATCCACTTTACACTCTTGCCTGAGTACCAGGGGATATGCACAATTATTCTCCAGCCCGGTGTCTATCAGGTAAAGATATTCCTGCTTATACAGCTCCAAACCTGGCAAAGAAAATTGAATAAAACTCACTATCACTGTGCTTTACAGTGTTTCACATGGAGCGCTTTGAACATTTCCGCCACGTGATAAGTAGTTATAGTAATTACAACGATTAATATTAGTATTAAGAGACTAGAGCGACACTCTCAATCATTGAGTCAGTATATGGGTGAGTAGTTGTGTATTTGTGAGTGAGTGAGTTAATGTGTGAGTGAGCATGTGAGTGTGCAAGTGAGTGTGTGGCTGTGTGTGTGGGTGAGAATGTACTAGTGAGTAAGCATTACGTGTTCAAGTGAGTTTGAGCGAGTGTGAATATGCGTGTGTGTGACTGAGTGAGTGTGCGTGTGAGTGTTTCAGTGTGTGTGAGTCAATAACTGTTTCAGTGTGTGTGAGTTTGTGTTTTTGAGATCGTGCAGTAGTCAATGAGTTTTTCAGTGTGAATGAGTGAGTTAGAGAGTGAGAATGTGTGATTCAGTGGGAGAGTATATGTGTGAGTGAGTGTGTGTGAGTGAGTGTGTGCCTGAGTGCGTGATGGTTTCAGAGCGAGTGTGACTAAGTGTTTCAGAGTGTTTGTATGACTCAGTGAGTGTGTGAGAGAATATCTGTGAGAGAATATTTTACGGTTTGTGGATGTGAGTAACTGTGTGAGTGAGTGAGTGATACAGAGGGAATGTATATGTGTGAGTGAATGTTTCAGTGTGTGTTTGTTTGTGAGTGAGTGTTTCAGTGTGTCAGTGAGTGTGTGTGACCGTGAGTGTGCGTGAGTTTCTGAGTGAGCATTCGTCTGTGAGTGCGTCTTTCAGTGTGTGTGTGTGAATATATGTGTGTGTGAGTGCATGTTTCACTCAGTGTGTGAGTGTATGTGTGATTGAGTGTCTCTGTCTGTGAATGAGTTTGTGAGTGCATGTGTGAGTAAGTGTGTGTGTGTGAGTGTGTATTTTAAAGTGTGTGGCAGTGTATGTGAGTGAGTCTTTGTGTTAGTGTGTGTGAATCTCACCTCTGGGACTCAGTTCTTTGACGCGAGAGTCATGATAGGCAAAGTTAGAATTTTCCCCCCATTTCCAGGATAACACAGCCCTCACCGTCTTGATCAAGATGCTCGGGATGGAACACCGCTTTTCATCGACTAGGAGAAAGGCAGATTGGTTAAATCCCGGATACTACCGGGAGATCCATTGAGACCTGGGGGAGACAGGAGAGGACGGAGATGTGAGATGGAGATGGATAAGACGTGGATTGTCAGCAGATAGATTCAGGTTTCAGTGGGGTATGCATGGCGACTTAGGAGATTCAGGGGATGGATTTTATTTCGAGAACTGGGGAAGTCAGGAGATAGATTGAGATTTGAGAGGGAAGTGGAAGTAGACTTGGAGAAGCCAGTGGATGGATTCAACTGTGAGAAAGAGATGAATAGAGACTTCGTAGAATTATAGAATCATATAATTATACAGCACAGAAGGAGGCCATTCGGCCGAACGTGTCTGTACCAGATCTTTGAAAAGAGCTTTTCCAATTCAATCCCACTCCCCGGCTCTCTCCCCTTGGCCATGCAAATTTGTCCTCGACAAATAACTATCTATTTGTCTCTTAAATGCCGTTATCGAACCAGCTTCCACCAGCCTTTCAGGCAATGCATTCCAACAGCGAACAACTCCCTGTGTTAAAAAAAATTCTCCTCGTCTCCCCTCTGTATCTTTTGACAACTATTTTAAATTGGTGGCCTCGGGTTACCAAACCACCCGCCCAGAAGTGGAATAGTTTCTCCTTGTTCACACTATCGATACCATCATGATTTTCAAAACTTCTATGAAGTGTACTCCTAACTGTTTCTACTCCAAGGAGAATAATCCTAGTTTCTCTAGCCTCTCCTGATAACTTAAGACCATTGTTCCTGTTGCCTTCCTGTAAATTTTCTTTGCAGCCCCTTGAATGCCTTGACATTGTTCCTAAACTGTGGTGCCCAGATCTGAACACTGTACTGTAGCTGATGTCTAACCAGTGTTTTGTAAATGTTCATCATAATTTCCGGATTTTGTAATCTATACCCCTATTTGTAAAGCCTATTTTAAAGCCTAAAGACTTGGGGGAGTCAGGGGCTGGATTGAGATATAAGAGGAATATATTTACCAAATGTGTTTTTGTTCTCCGCTTCATTCACGGTTTCCAAATTACCTATCAATTTTTGAGAGTAATATTCGTAGGGTCCTTTTTGGTGTTCTGTTAAACCGCAAAGCCCTGAAAACACAATTGGTCATTAACTTGAGACATGGATCCGGTGTAATTGGCACTGTGTGTGTGTGAGCGCGAGATTGGGAATCTTTGAGAGGTGGGTGCAGTGTAATTTTGCCCCCAGGTCCAATGTGTAAGAGCCCACAGCCATCTTCGATCGATGACCGAGTCGAGACAATTCATTTTGTAAACTAGGAGGAAGGCAGGTCAGTCACTCCCACGCAAAAGCCGTGCGAAGTCCGTGAATGTATTGAGGAGTGAGTAGGAGATAGATTGAGAATTGGGGGTGTTAGGGGATGGATTGAGGTGTGAGTAAGAGATTGACAGAAACTTCGGATATGAGGTGTGAAGGAAGATATATGGTGACTTGGTGAGTCATTGCATGGATTGAGGTTTACCTGTCTCCTCCAGATCGAGTTTCCTGAGTGCTGCCTCAAAATTCTCCCCTTCATTCATGATTTCCAAAATCTCCATCAATTTTCTAGAGCAATGTTCACAGTGGCTCTTCTCAGATTCTGGTGAACTGCTAACCACTGAAAAACAGAGTTAGCCATTAATACATGCGTGCAATGTGTGTGGATGAGCGTGAGGTGCTGTGAAGCTCTGAGCCTGTGTGCGTTTTGTGTGTGCATGGTCTGTATATGCGTAAGCGTGAAGCATTGTGAGGTTCTGAGACATATGTGTGTGAAAAGTCGAATCATGCACTAACTTTGAGGTTGGTATAAGATTCTGCACAACTCTCCCTTGATCCATTCTGTAAAAAAAATCAAAACCTTTAAAAAACTTACAATAAATATCCTTATATTTGACCAGCGCCTTTCAACTCTCTGTCTTGCCACCACTCCCTCAGGTCACCCTCACTCTCCCCCCTACGCATCACCGCCACCCCCCCCACCCCCCCACCCCCTCAAACATACATACAAACAACATACACATTCAGACATGTATAGTCTAAAGTGAGGATCCATCACGATACTGAGAGAGGGCAGGCATAGAGAGAGCGAGAGATCGAGAGAGAGAGAGACTGTTGCGAAAGGGGGGGGGGGGGTGGGGGGGTAGGGGTGGTTGTCAAGTGCTGGATGGGCTCCCGTCCTTCGTTAAACTCAGTCACTGCAATACACTAGGTAAGCTCTCTGAGATTGCCGTCTTGGCTTGAAGGGCGTAGATTTCAAGAACAACAACAAATGTGCACTTATATAGCGCCCTCCACGCAGGGTAGCGTCTCAGAGCACTTTACAGTGGTGGAGCCTGACTCCGAGAGGTGGGGGTGCGTGGCCGTAAGCCATAAGAAGAGGAAAGTTTTCAAGCTGGACTTGAAAAAGTGGAATGCAGAGGCAAGCCGGGCACAATGAGGGGCAATGTTCCAGCGACGGAGTGTCGGAAAGCACGACCTGCGAAGGTGGGATGGAGGATGTGTGGGACGGGCAGGAGGCCGATGCCAGTCGAGCAGAGGCGCTGACCTGGTCGTGGATTGCGGAGCGAGGAGGTTGGAGAGGTAGGGAGGAGGGGCCAGGGAGAGAGTGAGGGGATTTGAATGCGGGTGTGAAGTTCTTGAAGTCGATCCAGAAAGGATTTCAACAAGAAAATTGTTATACCCCAAATAGCTTTCTTGTCTGCGAGAGCGCTGCCCCAGAGACCTGGAAAAGAGAGAGAGATGTTAGTCTGATACTCACATCATCATCTGTAAAGAAGGGAAATGGATCAGATCATGTCTGAGTCTCTCTGGTTTCGAGCCCCTTCCCCTACACCCAACCGCCCCTCCACAGACACACTCACACACACGTGTCGGGATCCCGGAACCCGTTTACTTAAGGTTGAGTCTCCGTCGCTGGGTGGAGAGAGAGAGAAAGAGAGAGAGAGAGAGGGGGCGTCTCTATCTCTCAGTGTATCTCTTGCTTCCGCTCTGTCTCTCTTCCTCGCTGTGTCTTCCCTGCGCTCTCGCTCCGTCTCTCTTTCACGCTCTCTCTCTCTCTATCCCTCTCTCTCTCTCGCTTTCTGTCTTTCTTTCGCGCTCCGTCACTCTCTCCCTCTCTCTGACTTTCTTTCTCACTCAGACTCTCTCTCAGTCTCTCTCAGTCTATTTTTCTCTCTCAGTTTCTCACTTTCTCTCTCGCTGTCGCTTTCTCACTCCGTCTCTCGATATCACTCTCTCTCTCTCTCAGTGCTTCTCTCTTTCTCGCTCTCAGTCGATCTCTCTCACTCGCTGTCGCTCTCCGTTTGTCTTTCTCAGTCTCTCTCTCTATCGCACAGTCCCTCTCAGTCAGTCTCTCTCTCTGTCACTGTTTCCCTCTCTCTAAGTCTCTCTCTCGCACGTGTTCTCTGTCTATCTCTGAGAGTCTCTTTCTCTGTTTCAGTCTTCGCCTCAGTTTCTCTGTCTCGCTCCTGGCGTCCGGGCCGACAGATAAAACCGCTCGCTTCCTGCCTGTTTACAGCAACGGTGAAGGGGAGGGCCATCGCTTAATTATACAGTCACTACACTGTACATCAAGTTCTGGAAAGCGCTCTGAGACGTCGTCACGAAGTGGAGGGGTGGTAGTGCAGGGAGGGGTGGGGCGGTGGGGAAGGCCCCTCGTACCCTGTAAGTAGTTTAAATCCCTCTCCACGTGCATTTCTTGTATTTTCTTTCCGGCATCAAACTTGTTGTTGAACTGTTCCGTGAAGACAAATGCTCCCAGAGAAGGGAAGCCAACCTCGTGAGGAGTAAACTCAAACCAGGCGTCTGCCAAACACAGAGAGTGAACTCAGCAAATATAATCATATAAGAGGTTGGAGAAACGGAAAAATATGCCGAGGCTGGAAATCTGAAACCAAAACAGACGTCCATGAGAACACTCAGCAAGTAAGGCAGCAACTATGGAGAGAGGAACATCAGTCAACGTTTCGGTCCACGACCCTTCGTAAGAGCTCAGATTGCAGGTCAGCAGAGTAAGGACATTCCAGAGGAGACCGATCGTGGGGTTTATGGTGGTGGGGAGCAAACACGAGCGCCGACACGATGGGTAGAGTGAGCAACGGCGGTAGAGGGGTTAAAGAAAAACTGACCCGCTGTTTGTGAATCTCGCTTTCTATGTTCGTAAACAGCAGCATAAATGGGGTAGGGATTTATCCCATTACTGGCAAAGACTTGATGATTAGACAGTTTGCTGGTCTCGATCTGCAATTAACATACACACACATTATCGTCAACACACTCCCATTCCGAGATACTAGCATTGGCCAGATTTATGTGTACCTGAATGAGTGTTGGTGAGTGAGTGTATGTGTGTGAGAGTGAGTGAGTGTGTGTGAGTGCGTAGAAGACTGTTAGTATTTGAGTAGGGAAGACGTGTATAGGTGACAGTGTGTGTGAGTGAATGCGTTTAAATATGTATGAGTGAGTGTGTGAGTGTGTATTTGAGTGATTGTGTAAGACAGGGCATAACATAACGTAACATAATATAACATAACATATATGAGCAGGAGTAGGCCATTCGGCCCCTCGAGCCTGCCCCGCCATTCAATCATGGCTGATCTTCTAATCTAACTCCAGCTAATAACCTGACCCTGTCTTATCCCCATATCCCTTAATACCTTTTGCAATAAGTGCATGTGCATGTGTGTACATGTGATTGAGTGAGTGTTTGTGAGTGCTTGTGAGAGGGTGTGTGAGAATGCGAGTGCGTGTGTGAAAGTGTGTGAGAGTGAGTGAATGTATGTGAGCGAGTGAGTTTTTGTGACTAATTGTGTGAAAATGTGTGCAAATAAATTAGAATATGTGTTTTTGACAGTTTCTGTGACTGTGTGAGTTTATGTGTGCATAGGAGAGAGTTTGAGTGTGTGAGAAGGGCTGTGTGTAAATTGTTTGTGTGTGAGAGCGGAGGGAGCGGGTTCGGAAGTCAGGGAGGTCAGGGAATTAACAGCGTGTGAGAGACAGAGAAATGGAGATGTGGACGATGATGTCTTGGGATGAGCCACACTGGGTTGTTGGAGCCCACCTTGCCCAGATAGTGATAGATGAGCGAGGCTCCCCAGAAGTGGGCAAGTTAGTACGTGGGATTGTTCCCTATCTGCTTGAGGTACTCGATGGCATCGTCAAACGTCCTCCCGTGTTCAGTGATCCGTGATCTGAGATTACTGACCATATGCCTCATGTCCTTGGACCAGTTCTCATGGGAGTACAGTTCGCTCATAGCCCTGTGTAAGACGCAGAGGTCAGTCTGAGGTTCACTCCCTACCTCCCTTCTCAGGAGTCGTAGAGAGAGAGGGAGAGAGAGCAAGAGAAAGAGAGCGAGAGAGAGAGAGAGAGAGGGAGGTGGTGGGGGGGGGGGGGGGGAGAGAGAAGGAGAGAAACAGAGACACTGATTGACACACACACTCTCTCACACACAGAACCAAACAGACACACACACACAGAGGTAGGGGGAAGCAAGACCATGGAGGGCTTTGAAGGTGAGGACCATGATCTTGAACTGTATCCTCTGTGTGACGGGAGAGAATGGGGTGATGGGGTGGGGTGGGGGTGGGGGGGTGGGAGATGGCGGTAGGGTCACGGAGACTGGTGCAGGAGAGGCCATGGGCTGCAGGGTACTGGGTGATCTGCAGCCTACGGAGAGAGGAGTTGGGGAGGAGATATGTAGGGCGTTTTCATATTCAAGCCTTGATGTTACCAAAATGCGTGAGAGAGTTTTGGCGGCCTCCGTCATGAGATATTGGAGCATATGGGCGTTGTTGCGGAGGTGGTAAAGCAGGGCACGTCATAGCTCGGATGTGGTGTAGAAAGGATAGTTGAGGGTCAAATAAGACGCAAAGATTCTGGAATGGATTAGTAAGTTGAGTGTGCATCCATGGATGGCGATGCTGTCAGCCTGAGATGTGGAGGCGCTGACGTTAGACAATCAAGAGGGCTTTGGTCTTCTTGACATTCAACTGAAGAAAGTTAGCTCTCATCCAGGACTCGATTGGTCCATCGGCAGTTTTGGCTTCACCACACCAAGACCTAGCGCTGCGATCTTGCCTCTGCCAAATCCTCCTTCTAATCCAAGGTTATCTTGGAGCCAAAGGACAACCCCATTCTTTGCTTTTCCACCACAAACTGTCTCCTCCTTCCACCTTCCCACACCTCGCCCATCCTCTCCTCAAACTCCAACTGTGAGGACATGCTGGACGTCCTCTAATCTAAAATCAAGGGGATGCATTCAGCAACCTCCATATCACCTCTCCCTCATGACCCTGCCCCCACCCTTTCCCCCACTATGCTCCTTCGACACTATCTCTCCCTCCTCCCTCACCACGACTGTCCGCAAACCCAAACTCACTACCGGCTCCCTTGATCCCATCGCCACCTCTCTTCTCATCTCCCAACTCTACCTTCTGGCCCCTCTCCTGTCCAACGTCATCAACCTCTCTTTGTCCACCGATTCAGTTCCCACCCCACTAAAAACAGCCGTTATCACTCTCACCTTGAAAAAACCTCCGCTGGACCCATTCCTCCTCTCCTCCTCTCCAGCTACCGCCCCATCTCTGACTTCCCATTCCTCTCTAAGTTCCTGGAACGAGTTGAACCTTGCCAGGTTCGAATCCTATTTCTCACCATTTCCACTTTGTTGCCTCTAACGGTTTCTACTGCAGCCCCCGCACTGTCACCCAGGGCTCTGACCTTGGCCCTCTCTTCTTTAATATCTACATGCTCCCCCATGGTGACATCATCCGCAGACATGGGGTCAACATCCATATGTATGCGGAGGACAATCAACTCCATTGTTCTGCCTCCACCCTCAACTCCAGTTCCACTGCTCTCCTGTCGGACAGCAAGTCCTGGATGAGGGCAAATTTCCTACTGTTGAATGTGAATAAGACTAAGACCCTCTTGGTTGGCTCATGCCAGCGCCTCAGCACCTCAGGCTCAGGCAACATCAACTTCCATGTTTGCTCATTACAACTCACCAAGCCAGTCAGGAACCTAGGTGTCTTATTCGACGCTCAACTCTCTTTTCTTCCAAAAATCAAAGGCATGACCCACTCTGCCTTCCCTCACCTCCGTAATATTGCCCATCTCCACCACTACCTCACCCCGCAGGATGCAGAAACTCTTGTTCATGCCTTCATCACCTCAAAGCTCGACTATGCAAACGCCCTGCTTGTCGGCCTTCCCAATCCTCCCTCCACAGGCTGCAGATAATCCAGATCTCTGCAGCCCATGTCCTCTCCGCACCAAACTGCGTGACCACATCTCCCCCACTCTCGATTCTACAGAGGGTCCAATTCAAGATAATGGTCCTCACCTACAAAGCCCTCCATGGCCTCGCCCCAGCCTACTTCTGCAATCTGCTAAGCCCATACCATCCTGCCCGTTCCCTCCACTCAGCTGGATCCGGACTGCTCCACGTCCCCTGACTCATCGGCCCCACCAATGGCGGGAGAGCCTTCAGCCACTCTGCCCCCACCTCTAGAATTCTATCTCTCCGCCGCACCTGCTCCTTAGCCTCCTTCAAGTCCCGCCTCAAGACCCTCCTCTTCCTATCATGCCATCGGCCACCTCCCTCCCCTCCCCTCTCCCCGCCTGACACCAACTCGGGTCTGAAATGCTGTACACTGTCCAATGCCTTGGGACGCCCTCACCCCCCAACCCCCACCCCCTACCCCCACCACGTCCGATGTGGAAGAGGCTATACAAATGTATTCTTATTGTTGTTGGTGTCGGTATCTGGCAGACATATTGTCATGACAACAGTGGTCCTGGTGTCAAGGTTGGAGGCATAGAGCTAGAGTTGTGTGTCATCTGCATGTATTTGGAACTTATCCCTGTGTCTGCAGATGATGTCACCAAGAAGAAAATGTAGATGTTGGAAGGGTGGGGACCAAAGACAGAGCACTGAGGACCACTGCATAAGACAATGTGGCGGCGAGAGGAGAAACCGTTTATGCAGTTGAAGTGAGGACGATGTTTGTGCTACGATCCGAACCATTCAAGTAAAAACCCGCGAAAGCTTAGGTGAGAGGAGAGACAGTGGATCAGGTCAAGGAGGCTGGGGAGGCAGAGGGATGCTAGTCGCAGATGGACAGAATGTTGTTTGTCACTTTGACCAAGGCTGCTGCTGTGCTGCTGGCGGCACTGTTGGACAACCAGAGAGGCACACAAACGTACACGCACACACACACACAGGCACACATACACAAATACAGGTAGCTGACACAGTCCAGCAGGTCGCTCTCCGCCAGTGCCTGGAGGGTCCCCAGCATGGCGATGGTGGCTCGCATTCCTCCCCCCGAGCCCAGCACTGCGATGGTCGGCTCACGTCGCTGTGACACACACACACACAGACACCACAACACGTTAATCACTGTCTCTCAAACATCCCTCTCTCTCTGTCTCTCACTAATTCCCTCTCACTCTCTCTCTTTGTTTCTCTCATATATTCTTTCAAACATTCTCTCTCTCACACTCCCTTTCTCCTACACTCTCCCACACACTCTCTCACATAAAAACGCTCACTCACACACAATATTCCTCACAAAGTCTCTGTCACACACACTGTCCCACACACACTCTCAAACACAAACTCTCTCCCACTCAATCTTCCTCACACAATCTCTGTCACACACACTGTCCCAAACATTCTCTCATACACACACTCTCTCACATACTCTCACATAATTTCTGTCATTCTCTCACACTCTTGTGCTCTCACACTCATTCTCTCTCACAATCTCTACCACACACTCTCACAATCTCAGTCTCTCTCACACTCTCTCTTTCACTCAAATTCTCTCACACTTTCAGTCTGTCTCTCAAAATTTCTTTCTCACACATACTCTCACTTCTCACACACTCCCTCAAACTCTCACAAACGCTCAAATATTCTCGCTTACACTTTTCTCCATACTCACTGAAACACATTTTCACTCATCCTCTCACACTCAGTCTTTCGCACACTCTCAGAGCGTCACTCACACTCTCTAACTCTCAGTCTTTTTCACACTCTCTTTCTCCCACTCCCACCCTCTCATCTCCGTCTATTTCACACTCTCACCCTGTCATTCAATCTCTTTCTCACACACCGTATCTCTCACACAAAAGCTCAAATATTTTCTCACTCTCAGTAATTCTTACACTCTCAGTATGTCACTCACACTCTCACTCTCACTCTCCCTCGCTCACATTCAGTACCTTATCCAGATATTTCCCTGTCAATTTCAAGATCGCAGGTCTGACAACGCCGTTGCGCTGCTTCCGTGCACACTTCTCCCCTTCCGAGAGCTCTTTGGAGATCCTTACCGAAGGTTCACGTTGCCTAAAATACAAATAAGCAAGAACAATAATCCCTCAGAGGACCTCTCACTGTTAAAGAATTATAATTGCTTTGGATGAGTTATTAGCCACCAGAAAGCCAATCGACTAACAAGCGGGTTCCTTGGTAAACTACGTGAATGGCCAGGTAAACAGTGATGCGTGTGTATGTGTGGAGTAAAGAAACTTGCCTTGGTATCACATTCTCTCACCCGGGAAAAGAACCGTCGTCCTCTCACTTGTGAGGCAAGCACACTGACAATATGTTACAAGACTCTACACAAATACAACTAGTGTTATCAAAGAAGTATGTGTTGATCATTGACATGTGCAGTCCTGTAGCTCAGTGGTTAGAGCACTCGCTTTGCAAGTGAGAGACCTGAGTTCAATTCCAGGCAGAGGGCGAAACCTTGGGCAAGTTTCCTTACTCCACACAGAGCCTAATAATAATCCTCCAAAACCAAAAACAATAATAAATTGGTCATTTTCAATCTACGACTGTTTGTGGGACATTGCTGTGGGCAATTGGCTGCCGCGTTCTCCCACAAATATACAGTCAATTCACTTTACAGTATGTTCTGTGAAGCGCTTTGGGACGTCCTCCTGACGTGAAAAGCACTATATCAAATGCAAGGATTATTATTATTATTATATACCAGGACTCTTTACTCCAATTTTTGCGTTCATTATTAGTGGGTCCTTTCTCTTAATTCTCTGTAGAACTATGATAAACAAAATAATTTTGCCAACGTTACTTCAAAATTAGTTAACAATAAAGCTATCAAGCGTGCTGTTGTGCTTATAGCGCATTGTGTTAACTAGTTATCCGTGAATTCCGTACCTTGCTGTAGATTGACTGCTTCCAATGATTTCTCCACAATCTTTAACGTAAAGGAAGAAAAATAGGTTTAATGGTAACATGCAAGACTTCAAATAGATTGACACCAGCTTAGTAAATCATCCTCTGTACTGTGCATCCACACTCACAGGCGCGGTTTAAAGAGAAAGTAAAGGTCCTCATACACTGTTGGTCAACACTTCCAGGTCAGGTTTAGTAACACAGCAAAGGTCACTCTCCACTCCCAGATCAGGGTTGCAGACAGAGTAACGTTCCCTCTACCCTGCGCTTCCACACTCCCAGGTCTGATTAACAGACACAGGAAAGCTCCTCTACAATAACCGTCTACACTCCCAGGTCAAAGATGAAGAAACAGAAAAGCTTCCTGTATGCTGTCCGTCCACAATCCCAGGTCAGTGTTAGAGATGCAAAAAAGCATCCACCACACCATCTGTCTACACTCTCAGGTGAGAGACTCGTCCACATACATGCCCAGGTACAGTGAGAGTGTCTGCGTGTGAGATACTTGTCTATATTTGTTGTGTCTGAAAGGGGAGTGTCTATTACGTTATGATTTCACCTCTTCACTCTTTCATTGCTGAACTGACATGAATAATGGGAAGTGATACACACAAACTCGTGTTGAGCAACAGAACAGAGTAAATCAAAGATAAACAATGCATGGGATACAGCACCTAATCATGTTGTAGATATACCTCAAAGCTCTTCACGTGATTCACTCTAAATCGTAATGATTGTGTTTTGTGGGCGATCTATCTCTGAGGACTTTCGAATGGAAACAGTCAGGTATCTGGTGGGCGGGTCATTCAAGTCTCTGGGGAGAACACAGTCAGTTCTCTTGGGAAGTGGGGCAATATGTGTGCAGGTCCGTGTCTGCTGTGCGGCTTTGTGTGTGGGAGCGGGTTGGCTATTGGCTGTGTGTAGGGGGTCTGTGGCCCGTCTTTCTGGGGGCTATTGGCTGTCTATGAGGAACTATGGGCGGTGTGTAGGTAGTCGGGGGTCTGTGTGTGGGTCTGTGGTGGTCTGTGTCTGTTGAAGTCTGTGTCGGTAGCGGAGATGTGTCTATGGCGGCTTACGAACGTGGGCAGTATAAGTGTGAATAGCTGTGAGGGGATGGTGCTGTTAATGTAATGGGCTGTATGTGATTGGCTCAGTGGGTGAGGGGCTGTATACGGGAGATTACTGTGGGTGTAGGAGGAGGGGCAGTGTGTGGTGGCTGTGTCTGTGGAGCCGTTGTGCGGCTTTCGGGGTTGTGTGTGTTGCGCGGTGACTGCGTGTGGTCGGGGCTTTGCCTGATGGGTCCTGTATAAGGGTGGAGGAGGTTGGGGATTGTGGCTGTGTGCAGATCAGGGGGTTGGGCTGTGTGTGGAGCAGGATTCTGATGGTGGGCTGTGTGTGTGGGGCGGGCGGGGTGGTGGGTGGGGGTGGGGGTGGTTCGCGGTGCTATGTGAGTGCTGTGTGTGTTGCAACGGACGCCCACCTTGACATTAGCCTTCCTAGTTGCTTGCTCTACCTGCATGCTAAATTTCTGTGATTTGTGTACAAGGTCACTAAAATTACCTTGTCTCTCCCCCTCTAGAAAATCATCCGCTTTTGTATTTTTACAACTTCAGTGAATAACTTCACGTTTCCCACGTTATATTCCATCTGCTACCTTCTTGCCCACCCAACTTGCCTGTCTATTTCCCTTTGCATTCTTTTAGTGTGATGCTCACAGCTTACTCTCCCACCTAGCCTCGAATCGTCCACGAATTTAGATATGTTACATTCTATTTCCTCATCTAAATCATTGCTATACACTAATGAATTGAGACCCAAGCAATAATCCTTGTGGCACTCCACTATTCACCTCCTGCCAATCTGCGTAGGACCTGTTTATCCCTATTGTCTATTTTCTTCCTGTTAGCCACTCTCTAATCCATGCGAATATAATACCTTTAATCCCATGGGCGCTAGTCTTATGCAAAAGCCTTTTATGTGGCACCTTGTCAAATGTCTTCTGGATATCCAAATACACCACATCTACTGGATCCCCCCTTTCTATCCTGCTAGTTGCATCCTCAAAAACATCCAAAAGATATGTTAAACATGATTTCCCTTTCATAAAGCGATGTTGACTATCTAATTATGTTATGATTTTCTTAGTACCCTACGATGACGTCCCTAATTAAGGACTCTAGAATTTTCCCCAACCCAATGTCAGACTAACTGATCTACCATTCCCCATTTATTGTCTTCTAGCCTTCTTAAATAGCGGCGTTACATTTGAGACGTTCCAATCATTGGGAAACTTTCAAGAATCTAGGGAATTGTGGAAGATCAAAAACAAAGCATCAACTATCTCTGCAGCCACCTCCTTTAATTCGCTGGGATGTAGGCCATTTGGTCCAGGGGATTTATTGGTTTTTAATCCGATCAATTTCTCTCGTTTGCTTTATTGATTTTCATTTCTTTAAGTTCCTCACTAACATTAGCCTCCAGGTTCCCCTCTATTTTTGGTTAGTTTTCAGTGTCCTCTAACGTGAATACTAACGTTTAATGACTCTACCATTTCTTTATTCCCCATTATGATTTCTCAGCTCTCTGCCTGCAATGGACATGCATTCAATTTTGATAGTATCTTAACAATCCCCAGGTTCACTGCTCTTTTAGCAGCATTATATGTCTCTTAATTTCATACTTTCCCTAACTTCTCTAGTTAGCCAAGATTGAACCACTTTTCCCTGGGTATATTTATTTTTCAAGGGAATATGTGATCGCTGGGAATTATGTATTACATCTTTAAACGTTTGCCAATGCTACTCTACCGTCATATTTTTTATCTAATTTCCCGATCTATTTGATCCAAATCTTCTCTCATACCTGCAAATTTGGCGCTGTTTCAATGTAAGATATTTGTTGAGGATTCGAAGATATCAATCGCTATCACATCATGTTATAGTCCGTCTACCCTAGAGGAGCCTTAACTTCCAGATTGCAGATTAGCCCTTTTTCAATACGGAAAAACAAGATCTAGGATAACCTGTTCACTGTTGGTTCCTCGGCATACTGTTCTAGAAAAAATATCTCTAATGTATTCTATAAACTCATCCTCTAATTTACTGAGAGTAAGTCTCTCACTCTGCGTGTGTGCATATCTGTTTCATTCTGTGTGTATCTCTCTCAATCTGTGTCTGTAGTTTTCTCACTGTTTGTGTTTCCTCTCACTGTGTGTGTGTATATCTCTCTCACCCATTGTGTCTGTTGTGCTTCTGTCACTCACTGTGTGTGTATTTATTTCTCTTTCTCTCTCACGCTGTGTGTGTATTTCTCTCTCTGTTTCTCTTTCATGCTGCATTTTTGCACTTCTCACGCTTTCACTGTTACGCCTTCACTATGTGTGTGTATTACTGTTTCTCTCTCTCAGTGTTTCTCCCACGCTGTGTTTGCTTCTCTCTCATGTGTGTGTATTTTTTTCTCTCTCTCTCTCCATCTCTCTCCCTCTGTTTCTCTTTCATGTTGTGTGTGTATATTTATCTGTCCTTCTGTTTCTCTCTCAAGTCGTTTGTGTGTATTTCTCGCGGTCTCTGTCTGTGAGTGTTTCGCTTTGACACTGTTTATTTTTCTCTATCTCTGTTTCTCTCTCACACCATTTGTGTTTCTCTATCTGTTACTCTCTGTTTTTTTCTCTCTCTCTGTCTCTCTCTCTTTCTCTCACACACACACTGTATGTGTTTCTCTCTCTCACGTTGTGCGTGTGTGTATTTCTCTGTCTGTTAATCTATCTGTGTGTTTCTCTGTGACTGTGTGTATATGTATATCTCTCTGTTTCTCTCTCACTCTGTGTATGTATGTTGCTTTCAGTCTGGGTGTGTTTCTCTGTCTCACTCTATGTATGTATTTTGTGTTTGTGTGCAGCTCTCACTCGGGCTGTATGTGTGTTTCTCCCTCACACTTGTGAGTTGTGTGTGTGGTTCTCGCTCTGTGTTTCTCTCTCACGCTGTGTCTGTATATTTCACTCTGTGTTCATGTCCCACTATGTGTTTGTATATGTCTCATTCTGTATAAGTGTGTGTGTGTCACTCCGTGTGTTTCTCTCACACGCTTTGTGAGTGATTCTGTCTCATTCTCTGTGTATATGTCTCATTCTTTGTTTGTTTGTATCTCACTCTCTCTTTCTGTGTTGGTATTTCTCTCTTTCTCTCGCATTCTCTCCATCAAATGTATGTGTATTTCTCTCTCTTTCACTTTCACACTGTTTGTGTACTTCTCTCACTCATTCTTTCTCTCTCACTCTGTGTTTGCTAACTGCTCTCTCTCTCTCTCTCTATTTCTCTCTTACTCTGTGTTTGCTTACTGCTCTCTCTCTCTCCCCCCCCCCCCCCCCTCTCTCTCTCTCTCTCTCTCTATTTCTCTCTCACTCTGTGTTTGCTTACTGCTCTATCTCTCTCTCTCCCCCCCTCTCTCTCTATTTCTCTCTCACTCTGTGTTTGCTTACTGCGTTCTCACTCTCTCTATTTCTCTCTCACTCGGTGTGTTTGTATCTCTCTCTCCGTGTTTCTCTCTCACGCTGTGTTTTCATTTCACTCTCTCTCTCCCATACACGCACACACACTGTATCCCCCCCTCCCCACCCTCTCTCTCGCTCTCCTCTCTCTCTCTCTCCTCTCTCTCTCATGTTGTGGTTGTGTATTTCTCTCTCTCTCTCTCTCTGTTTCTCTCTCATGTTGTGTGTATGTGTTTCCCTCATGTCTCTCACTCTGTGTTTCTTTTTCACGCTGTGTGTCTCTGACTACATCTGTCTGTTTCTCTCTCACACCGTTTTTGTTTTTGTATCTCTCACTCCCTCTGTGTGATAGATGTATCTATCTCAACTCTCTCTCTCTTTCACTGTGCGCATGTGTATCTCTGTGTCTCTTTCTGTCTCTCTGTTTCTCTCTGACTCTTCGTCTGTGTATTTCTCTCTAATTCTGGGGGGGGTTTGCGCGAGGAGAGGGGGAGAGTTTTCTCACTCGCTTTCTCTCTGTGCTTCTCTCTCACACCATCTGCGTGTCGCACGCTGTTCTCTCGTTCTCTCTCTGTCTCTTCATGTTTCTCTCTAACGCTTTGTGTGTGTGTGTTTGTGTTTTTCCATACTACTGTCTCTCTCTCCGCTGTTTCTTTCAATCGGTGTGTGTGGTTCATTCTTTCTTATTCTGTACGTGTGATTCTCTCACTCTCACTACGTGAATGTAGTTTACTCTCTCCCACACTATGTTGTTGTTGTGTGTCCGTATCTCTCTTTCCCATTTGTGCTTCTCTCTTTTTTCCTTTGTTTGTCTCTCATTCTGTATCTTTCTCCTTTTCTTACTCTGTCTGTCACTAGTTCTCTTTCTTTGTTTCCATATATGTATATCACCCATTGGAGCTGTCTACTTTAATCCATTTGACCATAGCAGACTGGCCAGGTTGTGGCTGGCAGCTAGGCGGCAATTCACGTTGCCTGGTA